CGAGAGCAGCTCGGGCAGACCACCGGCAGCCAACGACATCGAGGCGCAGACCCCTAGGCCCAGCCCTCAGAGCCAATCCTTTTCCCAAGGTTACGGATCCACATTTCCGGTTGATCCGATTCCAAGGTGGGCGAGCCGTCAAGAAGGAAAGAGAACCCTCCCAACGGCCCCCGGTAGCATCTCTGGAGCTGCTTACATTACCGTCCACCTCCACAACCCCGTTCGGGAATATTAACCTGACCCCCTTTCGATGTGCGGCGCGCAGTGCGCCCTTGAKACAAGGTTTCCACATCTCTTAGGGCCGACTGACCCATGTGCAAGCGCTGTTCACATGGAACCCTTCTCCACTTCGGTCTTCAAAGTTCTCATTTGAATATTTGCTACTACCACCAAGATTTGGACCGGGACCCAGTTCACCTAGGCTCACGCTCCAGGCTTCGCAGTCGGCCCCGCGCCCTCCTACTCGGGGTTGGTTGATTCGACAGGTGAGTTGTTACACACTCCTTAGCGGATTTCGACTTCCATGATCACCGTCCGGCTGTTTGTATCAATCAACACCCTTTGTGGTGTCTGGGTTAGCGCGCAGTTTGCCACCGTAGCTCGACTTTCGGTTCATCCCGCATCGCCAGTTCTGCTTACCAAAAACGGCCCACTTGGAGCTTTCATTGATCCTCGGGGTTCGCTTAAGCAACCCCGAAATCTTATCTATTTGAAGTTTGACAATAGGTCGAGGGTGTTTGACCCCCGAGGCTTCTAATCTTCATTTTACCCGATAAAACTGTTCAACARCTCCAGCTATCCTGAGGGAAACTTCGGAGGGAACCAGCTACTAGACGGTTCGATTAGTCTTTCGCCCCTATACYCAAGTCCGACGAACGATTTGCACGTCAGTATCACTGCGAGCCTCCACCAGAGTTTCCTCTGGCCTCGCCCTGCTCAGGCATAGTTCACCATCTTTCGAGTCCCAACGGGCATTGCTCACACTCAAACCTCTCACAACAGATCGTGGTTGGCGGACTGTGCACCCGCAGATGGTTCCCGCCACTTAGGTTTCTTCTCCCTCGTGGGCTAATCACCCACCGGCTCACATGCACGTTGAACTTCTCGGTCCGTGTTTCAAGACGGGCAGGATAGAGGAATTTCGCCAGCATCCCGAACACGCAGGAACCCGAACGGGCCCGCCGAAAGAGGCGCGTGCTCAAGGTCCTCGACTGCCGTGGCGGCCACCCGTGGGGGGTTTCAGTCGCTCCCCACCACAATGCCGGTCACAGCAGCCCATGATAGCAGGCACCCCACGTCCAACAAGGCGGGCGACAACACAGTTGCCGTCCACCCCTGCCTAGACGGGAACGCACGACTTCCCCTCCATCCGCTTCTCGCTCGGCAATTTCAAGCACTCTTTAACTCTCTTTTCAAAGTTCTTTTCATCCTTCCCTCGCGGTACTTCTTCGCTATCGGTCCCTCGCACGTATTTAGCCTTGGATGGGACTTACCACCCAATTGGGGCTGCATTCCCAAGCAACTGGACTCCTGGACAGCACCTCGTTGCACAGCAGGGTCCGGCGGTCGACCGGGCTGTCACCCTCTTCGGCGTCCCCTTCCAGGGAACCTGCACATGCCCCGCTGCAGAGGTTGCCTCTCAAGACTACAATTCAGGGAGCAACAGAGCCCCCGGATTTTCAGTCTGGGCTATTCCCGGTTCGCTCGCCGCTACCAAGGGAATCCTCGTTCATTTCTCTTCCACCGCTTAGTTATATGCTTTAATTGCGCGGGTGCTCCCGCCCGACCTGAGATCAAAAGGCAAGGCCCGACGTACCTCCACAGCTCGAGGCCTACACCCCCAACCGCAAGCCCACCTCAAGCCGATGGGAGCGAATGGAAGGCGGCGACCACACAAACCGGACAGATAACCTTACGTGTCGTTTTCAGGGAAACGAAGACCACCACCCACAAACGGGTGTTGGAGGGCAACAACAGGTTGGAGCGAAACGCACAGCTCAGAATGCTCTCCTGCCATTTTCAGGGAAACGAAGACCACCACCCACAAACGGGTGTTCGAGGGCAACAACAGGGCGGAGCGAAATGCACCGCTCGGAATGCTCTCCAATTCCCTTCCACTTTAGGCTATCAACGCTCTCCAAGTGGGAAGCGAGGGAAGCCACGACCACGGACCGCACCACTCTCCAAAACGGAAGGTGCTGAGGTCGTGAGGAATCCAATGATGCTCAGGCGGGCGTGCCCTCTACAGAAGCCTTGGGCGCCACGTGCGTTCAAGGTATCGATGGCTCACGGATTTCTACAATTCACATTCAGTATCGCACTTTGCTGCGCTCTTCATCGTTGCGAGGGCCAAGATATTCGTTTGTCGAGAGCTCTACAATATGGTGTCGTTCCGACATGACCGACCCATCAACCAGAACAGAAGGGGGCCGTCAACCCGGATAGCGACAAATCAGAGCAGGTACATCAATAAGAAGTTGCAAAGACGTCGCCACAGCCCGCTGCCACGGGCCCGTCCGACCCCCCGTTCAGGGGGCCAGGCAGGGCACCAGGGACCAGCGGGGCAACGGGGGTGCAAGCGCTGTCTCCTCCCCCCCACCTTACACCGCCCCGTTCACGACCAAAACCCTCCCCCAACGGCCCTCCACCCAGAGATTCAGACCACCTCAACTGTGTCGAGGACGACGATCTGTCCGGAAAGGAAAAACCCGTTGGAAAGGAAGCTAGGACGAAATGGGGAGGGGCCGAGGACCCCGCAACACACCCCACCCCTAGCCTCTACCACGACCCTCGGTCCCCAAACAAGCCACAAGCTCCGCACGAAGCCGAGGTTGAGGCCGGGATGGAAAGGAGGTCTGGACAAAGTTGAGACGGGAAGGAGCGGGGGTACGCAGGCCGAGGACAGCCGCCACCACCCGACATCCCGCCCTGACACTCCCGCAGGGCTGTCCGTGCCCGGACCAACCGCCATCCCGACCAGAAGTCGAGAGTGGGGCTGGGCCAAGGTAACAACCTGTGGAGGCGAGACGGGATGAACGGGGAGCAACGCCACAAGGCCCCGGACCCTGCCCACTCCCCCCACCCTCGACCTACACCACTCCCCCCTTTGCGCCGGGCCAGCCGCCAGCTGGGCACTAAGCCCAAGATGGTGCTGAAACGGAAGAGAAAAGTGGATGCAGGGAGGATGGGGGCAAAGGGAGGCGGAAGGGCGAGCAAGCCAGCGTCCCACACCCCGAAGATCGGCCGTTCAGGTGTCAATGATCCTTCCGCGGGTTCATCTACGGAAACCTTGCTACGACTTCTCCTTCCTCCAAATAATAGGGTTCAATGAACTTCTCACAGCACCCCCAGCGGCAAACCGYCGAGATCACCGCAATCCAGACACTTCACCGGACCATTCAATCGGTAGGAGCGACGGGCGGTGTGTACAAAGGGCAGGGACGTAATYAGCGCGAGCTGATGACTCGCGCTTACTAGGCATTCCTCGTTCAAGATCGATAATTACAACAATCTATCCCCGTCACGATGAACCTTAAGAAGGTTACCCGGGCCTTTCGACCCAGGCAAGCGACTCGTTGGATTCATCAGTGTAGCGCGTGTGCGGCCTAGAACATCTAACGGCATCACAGACCTTTTATTGCCTCAAACTTTCATTGGCTAGTCGTCCAACAGTCCCTCTAAGAAGCTGGCCACGAGGAAAGGTCCCCGCGTAGCTATTTAGCAGGCTGAGGTCTCGTTCATTAACGGAATTAACCAGACAAATCACTCCACCAACTAAGAAYGGCCATGCACCACCACCCATAGAATCAAGGAAGAGCTCTCAATCTGTCAATCCTTGCTATGTCTGGACCTGGTGAGWTTCCCCGTGTTGAGTCAAATTAAGCCGCAGGCTCCACGCCTGGTGGTGCCCTTCCRTCAATTCCTTTAAGTTTCAGCCTTGCGACTCCCCTCGGAGCCCGTAAACTTTGATTTCTCACAAGGTGCTGGTGGAGTCATCCAATAGACATCCGCCAATCCCTAGTTGGCATCGTTTATGGTTGAGACTAGGACGGTATCTGATCGTCTTCGATCCCCCAACTTTCGTTCTTGATTAATGAGAACGTCCTTAGCAAATGCTTTTGCAGAAGTTCGTCATCTATAAATCCAAGAATTTCACCTCTGACAATGGAATACGAATGCCCCCAACCGTCTCTATTAATCATTAGTCCAATCCCGAAGACCAACGAAATAGGACCAGAGTCCTATCRCGTTATTCCATGCTAATATGTTCAGAGCACAGGCCTGCTTTGAACACTATTTTTTTCGAAGTAACAGCGCCGGCTCTGGATCCCAGCCAATAAAGGCAAGGAACGCATACCCGGCAAGAAAGGCGAAAGGGCCGGTACACGACCGCAAGAGTGGACTAACCCCTCCCACCCAAAATCCAACTACGAGCTTTTTAACTTCAACAACTTAAATATACATTATTGGAGCTGGAATTACCGCGGCTGCTGGCACCAGACTTGCCCTCCAATGGATCCTCGTTCAAGGAGTTTACGACTGTTCTCATTCCAATTACCGGACTCGAAAGAGCCCAGTATTGTTATTTATTGTCACTACCTCCCTACGTCAGTATTGGGGGACTTACGCGCCTGCTGTCTTCGTTGGATGTGGTAGCCATCTCTGAGGCTCCCTCTTGAATTGAACCCTAATTCTCCGTCATCCGTTACCACCATGGTAGGCCTCTATCCTACCATCGAAAGTTGATAGGGCAGAAATTTGAATGGAACATCGCTGGCTCAAAGGCCATGCGATTCGACAAGTCACCATGATTCGCCGCAACAACGGGCAAGCTCGGATCGACCTTTATCCAATAAATACATCCCTTCCAGAAGTCGGGATATRCTGCACGTATTAGCTCTAGAATTACCACGGTTATCCGAGTGGTAAGGAGACCACCAAATAAATGATAACTAATTTAATGAGCCATTCGTAGTTTCTTTCTTTTTTTAAAAGGGTACCCAACGTGAGTTGGCCCGCTAGCGGGGCACACACTCACGAGGGGGGGCCCACCCAGGTTGTTGTAGTGGTCGAATGCCTGACCAGACAGGCCAGCCCTTAGTCCTTGCCCATTCAGGTCGCCCGGAGAGCATATTGGGCATGCTACTACCTATCCCGATGTACCGACCTTTCCATCTCTCACCTATTCTAGCCTCATCGCGAGTCGAACCTACGGGCCTGCAACCACACTCGATGGTATGCAGGCATGCTTTTTTCACCTAGCGAGACACCTAAGGGTCGGACACCCTTCAGGCACATTTTTACCATAGGCACCCCGGACCAACCGGGGCTCGGCTAGTCCGCAGCCAAGCTGCTTCCCACCTGGCAGACTCTATGGGGGGCCCTCCTCTTCTGCCAGATGCGATGATCACCTTCTACCCCTCCTAATCCTGGTACTTATCTATTCTCCCTCATCTCTCTGAGACCCCCATTCTATGGTCCGACTAGAGACACTTCTGTCGCGCTAAGCCCAGCCCGAGGTCTCGTACGATATTCTCTTGAAGTCCACCCCCGGGAATCGTAAGTATCAAGCATTGTCCCAACTACAACTCCCCCACACCACTCACCCCCTATACCGAGGCAGACCATGGGGCATGACCTACCCTGGATTCGCACAGTGTTGCGATCTATCGGTCCCACTCCAGCCTACCTAATCCCAAGGACTCCTAGGTAGGGTCTTAAGTCACGGGAAACCTCCTGACGGTACCCAGACTGCCTTAGGGTTCTACCCTCGGGGTCCCCCGGTACGGGCGACGGTGCGGGATCGAGTCCGCAGCACTGTGCGGTGGTTCTGACAGTTCTGTTAGGTCCAATGATCGAAGACACAAACAACGGTCGCGTTCAGCCCAAGGTCCCGACAGTTCTGTTAGGACCAGCCATTCGCAGTTTTTTTTTTTTTTTAACCCAACACACACACAGCCCCATCTATTCTGGGGGGCATCAGTCCGGTTGCTAATCACCGACAAGCAGAGAGACAAAGTCCGAAGAGAAACATGATCAGAAGAAAATAAAGGAAGGAAAGGGGGTATCCCTCCAGTCCCCCACAAGGGACTGAAAGGCAGCAGCAGTGAAAAGGGGGGGGCGAACTCACATCTTCCCAAACTCCCTAGTGCCCCCACCGGGAGGCAGAAACGCACCCAGTCATGAACGCACCCACGAAACAAGGGAACTGTGCTAGGACCACCCCTTTAACACCTCACACCCCTCGAACAGCCACACGGAACCATCCAAATACTACTGTATCTGAATCTTCTATGCCCCCCCTCCGTTACACCATTTACTCACTTGACTCACTTCCTCCAAGTATTCATGATGATACTGGTTAGGTCCTTTTTTAGAAGTTTCCATAACGGCACCCAATGACTTCCCCTCCCTCCTATCCCCAAACACCCCCTTGACACCCCGGAATCCTACATGAGCAGATGACTACCACCCAGCTACCAGACCCTGACACCCTCCGTTCCCTCCCCTCCCAGGCGACCCACACTCCCCCACCCATCCGCTTCCTCCAATCTACACTTAGCCTATGACGACCACACCTCCCATACCCAAAAGTGCCTCTACCCTAGACATCAACCAACACCCTAGCCCTCCTCCCACGTGAGTTCCCAAGACCACTGCCCAACCTGTTCCCCTACTGTAACTATCGTATGGTAAGGCTTCCAAGCCCTATCGAAGAACTACCAACCGCCATTCCGTCTTCTAGAAACGTCCGCAGAGATCGCAGTCCTCAGATTCCACACAATCCAGGCCCGTAGTGTTGGAAAAGAAGGCGGCACCCCATCCCGCAACAACCTGGCTCGCATGGCCCACGCTGCCGCCCAGAACGCCGCACGAACTGTATCAGCAGCGTAAGCCTCACCTATCCCTACTACATCCCCAGAAAGGAGGAGCCCCACCAAAACCGGGGTACTCCTTTCCCGGGCCCCATGAAGGGGAACCGCATCCCCCAAAGAACCCCACCATTCCCAAAAAGCCACTTGCGGCGCACATTCCAACCATATATGGGGCATGGATTCCTCCTTATCCTGACAGTACCTGCAGGATTTATCCTTGTGCAAACACCTATCCTCCAACTGGAGGCAGAGCCACAGGCCCCCCGCGTGTTTCTGGTCCGGAAGGAGGGCAAGCAGCCTGCAGGCTTTCCGCCAGGTCGAAGCATCCCAGCAAAGCAAGGCCTTCTGATCCAACCATCCCCTCTTCCTCCATATCTCCCGCATTTCATCGACCAAGTCCGTCGGGACCAACAGGGACCTGTAAATTACCTTCGTAGTCACCTGATGGATTCTGCAACGCTTCATGAGCGAGTTCCTAGGTGCCCATTCCCAAATCGACGGGTCCCAAGGGATCTGAAGCGGCCTATAGGCCGGCTTGAAAGGACGAAACCCCCTCCCCTTAGAAACCGTCTGATCCCTCAACACCACGACTGGCCTTATGTTCTCCTCATGGAGCCTGCTATCCCGGTCCGGACGCCGAACAAGGACGTCACCCAACGCCTTTTGCCGACCGACATCCTCCCAGGCCTCTGCCCCATACCACTGAGACCCCAGCCTCTCTTTGAGCTGGAAGAAGATGATCGGGCGGCCCTGACCCTCCAAGGTGACCCATTCCCCCTGCATCCGATCCTTAGCCACAAGGCAGTCAACCCACTCCTGCGGAATCGCTCGCTTGATCTCTTCCAACCTTTCCTGCTTCTTGGGCTGATGATCCAGCCGTCCGAGAACCTCGCCTTCTTCCTTCCACGTGCCTTCCTGCTCATCCCAGATATCCCCCACCCGAAACACACCACATGACAACCACTGCTTCCCAAAGGCACCCGGACAACCTTGCCACGGGAAGGGCCCGAAGGGGACGCCTGACTGTAATACGAAATGGTTCCCGAATAAGCTCTGCTCAAGAATTTGATCACATGTCTGCGGAGCAGTCTGACGCAGGGGTGCCTCACGCCACTTTTCTAAGGCATTCGACCACAACACCCCTCTCCGCAGACCATGAAGAAGCTGGGGGTGAAGGAGGGCCGTCTTAACATCTGTCGGGTGTACTCTGACAGCCTCCGCCATCTCCTGCAACGTAACCAGCTTCCAAGGCTCCATATCATCCTCCAAGAGGAGCCACAAGACAGTCCGCATTTGCAACGCGGAAACCTGAACACGGGGATCCAACAACCCCAGTCCCCCAACTGATCTGGGTTGCACCAGCTTCTCCCATCGCACCCTATAGATAAGATGTGACACACAGGGGTCATCTTTCCACATAAATCTCCTCAGGGATCGCTTATAGTCTTTCCATGCTTTCTTGGGAGGATCCGAGACCGCACCTGCATACCACAACGTTGTCGACACCACGTTATTGGCTATGAGCACTTTCCGAAACACCCCATGCGACGCCCGCTTAGCCCAAGCCACCATACCGGTCCATACATGCCACATCATGATGCAACAGGTCCTCAAGCTGCAGGCCCGTTGAGAGTGCCGCGGTGACCAATATACCGAGATACAAAAATTGGTCCCCAGGCAACTGGGTCTTCATCCCCTCAAACATCGCAACGTCAACCCCAGCTGGAACCACCGCCACCGACTTCCCCCACTTGATTCGTGCACCCGCGTACTTTTCAAAGAGAACAACTTCATTACGCAAAGCCGAGACGCTTTGATGTGTCGCCCGGGTCACTGCCGCAGTGTCGTCAGCAAACGCATTAGTCTTAACCTGGGCCCCCCGGGGCAACTCGAAACCCGGAATCTGGTCATTCGCTCGAATCATCTCATGCAAGTGTTCCACGTACAAAACGTACAAAGCGGCGGAGAGCGGGCACCCCTCTCGCACGGAACGCGTAATCTTCAGTGGGGAAGACAAGAAACCATTGACCTGCACCTTAGCCACCGCCATCCCCAACACACCTTCAACAACCTTCACGAAAACCTCCCCAAACCCTCTGCACCTCATACCTTGCAGAAGAAAGGGCCACCTGACCCTATCATAAGCTTTCTCAAAATCCAGAAAGAGAGTAGCCAACGGGGGCTGAAAATCTTGAGCCCTCTCCATGATTTGACGAACCAGGAGAACGTTCACAAGGATCTGTCTCCTAGGGATGAAACCAGTCTGGGTGGAGTGAACAAGGGCAGGCAACACTGCAGCAACTCTATTAGCCAACACCTTCGCATACAACTTGTATGGCGCTGACAGAAGAGAAATGGGCCTCCAATTCCTAATCTCTTCAACACTCCCCTTCTTGTACAGGAGAACAATTGTAGTCTGGCCGAAGGTGGCCGGGGAGGCCTCTTCTCCTGAGAACAAACGGTTGAAAGCCTCACACAGATACAGAAGGAGGGGCCGTGTCGCAGTCATCAGATACTCAACCGGCAGACCATCCGGGCCCGACGCCTTACCTTTGTGCATCCCAAACGGAGCCCCGGCTACTTCCTCCTGAGTAATGGGCGCATCCAAAACAGCCTTATGCTCTGGCGACACTCGGGTGGCGCACTTATCCCACACCTCCTTCGCCGGTACAACGGCTATGTCCTCCTGTGACCAGCACTCGTCTTCACGGTACATATCCTCATAGAACAACTCAACGTACTTAAGGATGTCAGGAGTATTATCCGCTTTAACTTCAAGCGGAACAAAAGGATGGCCCATCGCTACAATCAACGGCGAACGAGATGCTTTCTTCATTTGGGCAAAGAACGCCCCGGACATGCGCTCAGCGGTCCGTACCCACTTAATCTTAGAGCTGAGGCCCCACAATTCCGCATCACGGGCCTGCCAACCAGCCCACTCTAAATGCAACAACACCCACTCCGATCATCCTCGCTCCCTGGAGGCGGGATTTCACCCAACGCCTCCATCCGGTGGAGGTACTCCTGACCCGTCTGATCATGCGCTTGCCTTGAAGCCTTAGCCCTCTTCTTCATATTCGCAGCCAAGGCCCGAATACCATGATGGAGGTGCTCCAGGAACGGCACATGCTGAGGGCGCAACCGGAGCCAATACTCCCAGTGTTGTTGGACAAGTTCTCTGTTAAGGGGATTAGACAACAACCACGTCGGAACAGACATTGGGGGGGGTCTTCTGAGTACTCGGGGATGCAAGGCCAGCGAAGCAACAATAAGCTTGTGATCCGATATCGGCACTAGCTGCTGGTCAAAACTCTGAAGGTTCGGCAGAAGGTCAGTTGAAATCCATGCCATGTTGAGTCTGCTTCGTAGGAGAGGGGAGGTCCACCCGGGTAAATTCTACGAAAGGCATCCACCAAGGCCAAATCAGCCATCAAAGCACACAAAGCCTCTGCGTCCGGCTTTGGGTCCCCCGACACAACCGAGTCCCTTCCCGGGCGGATAACCGTATTGAAGTCCCCTATCAGCAGCATGGCATCCGTCTCCAGGAGACAGGCCGTAAAGTTCCTCCAAAACCACTTACGCTCTGTGACATCCACCGGAGCATAGACAGTAGCCACCAACAATCCCAAAAAAAATCCAAAATTTTACCCGTGAAAAACCTTGTTAGAATTATTGCAACCCCTCCTTTCGTCCCCACTGCCGGAGCCCACAACTGAAAAGGTCCCCAAACGCCAAACTCAGGGAGGGACAACCAATCCCCCCTCATCCTGGATTCTGAGATTTTCGTCTCCTGAAGGCAGATGATTGGCACTCTATCTTTCCTAACAATCTTCCTCACCTCCCTAGCCTTAGCCCTGACTGACCGATACCCAAGACCTCTAACATTCAATGAACCCACTTTGAACATAAGCAACTACATAGATAAAGTGACAGGGGTGACACAAAACCAACCACAGCACCAACTTACAACCAGTTCATGGGCACATCCACCTCCTTATGCACCCGCAAAGAAGCGGCCGAACACAGCCATCAACGCCCATTCCCCCGGGACCGATCCGAACGGGACATACGCACCGAGACTATCGACCTCCTTCTTGGAACCACCGGGCAGTTCTGCCTGTTCGAGCGGCTTGTCCGGCCTGTCCCTTGCGAGGGAGTCCTGGAAGCAGACCCCCGAGGAGGCTGGACACGGCGCTGAGATTCATACAACCACTCATCAATCGAATACCAGAATCTAGTGCTTGCATGCACCTGTCAAGATCCTTGAGAATCCGCAAAGGGGCCGACATAGCCGTAAAAACTACATGCTCTTCAGCCTCCGCAAAGTCGAGAACCAACGCAAGATTCTGCCAGCCGAAACTAGGAGCCAGCAGAGCACTTCCCTGCGAATCCTCATACTTCGCTCGCACGAAGAAACAGTACAAGCCCACCGAAAAGCCATGGCTGGTGGGGGCCAGCAACCGAATGGCTGAAACACCGGGACCATTGCCACCTCAGCCGTAGCCCCCAACCATTCCTTCGCTGCCGACAAGGCCCGCTGCTGAGTGGGCATTGCAGACAAGGCTATCATCGGGAACCGTGAATTATGCACGCCCGCCCAAGCCGAAATAGTGAGAACCTGCAAAACCGACGCAACCTCCATGAAGACAACGGCACTAGACACAGACGCCCTTCAGAGAGCATGTCCTCCAAAACACCATCCAACAATTTCATATGTAACCTATCACTAAAGAAATCCCCCTCCCTTGGATCCGTGTTTCTCCCAACCATCCTAGGCTCCGGCTCCTCTTCCCGGCCCTCATCCTGTGCACGTCGCTCGGGATGCGGAGACGACAACCTCACTTGACCCCGAGGCAGGTCCGGCGAAGGAGAGGGGTCACCAGGCAAGGCTCGCAGAGGTGCCCTAACCTCCTGGAACGATGCTGACCGAACAGGTACCGCATTCGAGCCTTCGTCATCACTCACCTCAATGACTCGCTTCAAACGCGAGGGAACAGGAGGTTGCCTGGCAGTCTGAACATTAGGCGGGGAACCCATGCCCTGAAGAGGACGTCGACCAAAATTCACTCCTCCTACCACTGACTGCCCTCCATCCGTTCCTGGGATCACCAACACCCTCCCTGGATCACTTCCCTAAACTTCCTAGGCGGCTCATCTTCTTTCGAGCTCGCCGAACACTGCGATATCGGTTGCTTCCCTTTACCACCGAGGTCTGCCTTCCCCTGGGTCCTCCCTTTCCTAGTCCTCTTGCGAGAGCGCGAACGTGGCCTGGCTGAAGGTCCTTCACCGAACTCCTCCTGTCTCCTCCCAACACACAAATCCTCCCTCAGCGGCGCAACACCCATATCCATAGCAAGACATTGATCCTTGCCCACCCGAGGGGAAGGGTAGTCCAACTTCACGGTATCACTGCTCTGGAGCTGCGGGTACCTCTCACGCTCGACCGTACTCATAACCGCATCAGGTCTCCTAGGTGAGCAGCCTCTGGTCAAAGGAAGAATGTAGGTAAGGGAAGTCGGCAATATGGATCCGTTACCTTGGGAAAAGGATTGGCTCTTAGGGCTGGGCCTAGGGGTCTGCGCCTCGATGTCGTTGGCTGCCAGTGGTCTGCCTGAGCTGCTCTCGCGGCGAGGACGGAGCCTGCGTGCCAGTGTGCTGACGGGATTAGAATGTCTTATGTCCCCACCTTTCGGGTGGGGCCGTGAGACTCTCCCTAAGCATCAAACTGCCGACTCAGAACTGGTGCGGACAAGGGGAATCCGACTGTTTAATTAAAACAAAGCATTGCGATGGTCCCAACGGATGTTGATGCAATATGATTTCTGCCCAGTGCTCTGAATGTCAAAGTGAAGAGATTGAGCCAAGCGCGGGTAAACAGCGAGCGTAACTATGACTCTCTTAAGGTAGCCAAATGCCTCGTCATCTAATTAGTGACGCACATGAATGGATTAATGAGATTCCCACTGTCCCTATCTACCATCCTGCGAAACCACAGCCAAGGGAACGGGCTTGGAAGAATCGGCGGGGRAAGAAGACCCTGTTGAGCTTGACTCTAGTTYGACTCTGTGAAATGACTTGAGAGGTGTAGAATAAGTGGGAGCCTTACGGCGCAAGTGAAATACCACTACTTTCAACGTTATTTTATTTATTTCGTGAGGTGGAGCCGGGGCTCTGCCTCTGCTTCTCCATCCAAGGTGCAGGCCCTCGTGGCCTGTCCGATCCAAGGGAAAAACATTGTCAGGTGGGGAGTTTGGCTGGGGCGGCACATCTGTTAGAAGATAACGCAGGTGTCCTAAGATGAGCTCAACGAGAACAGAAATCTCGTGTGGGGCACAAGGGCAAAAGCTCATTTGATTTTGATTTCCAGTACGATTGAGTGCGCGAAGGATGACTGGGAGGGGACGAGGGAAGGGACGCATAGGCAGATAAAGAGGAGTGGTTGGAAGCGAAGCCAGGGCAAGGCGGAGATATCAATAGGAGAAGATACGGTGCCCTTAAGCAAAGAAACCATCGGGAAGACGAAGACTGATATCGCAAGCCGAGCGAACAGGAGAGCACATGGGAGACGAGGAGAGAGTTTGGGGGATCTTTCTGCTGATTTTGGGATGGCTGTTGGCGAGGCAAGTGGACGGGATCTATAGATTGATCGCTTCGTTGTGGGCGGCCATAGCACAAACCTGGCGAGTTGTGATCGTGGACACAGGTAAATGCGCCATACTAATTTTTACCTGGACACTAGCATATATCTGTTGTAGACAGATCCTGTAGGCAGGGAGCAAGGCGAGTATCTGGTGGGAACTCTTGACTACTGGGGGGTGGATAGATTGGCTGGCGGCACTGGCAGTGTGGGTGGAAATAGGGCGGAGAGGAGGAATCCAGCAAATTTGGACCTCGACATTGGCAAGATGGTTGGAGCGATGAGAACAGCGTAGACTGGAAGCCCATATTAGATGGTTGCAGTACAGAATAGAACAGGAGGAGAGATGGCTGAGGGAGTTTGACCCCACGTGGCACTTAGACCAGTACCCGACCTCCTCCTCACAACAGAGATGGATACATCTGAATCGCCCTCCCCTGCCAGCCCCGGTGAGATTTCGAGACTCAACAGGGCAAGTACCACCCTCCCGACGACGGCGCCGACGTGGAACGCGAAGCACTCATCCTGAGAGGAGAGAGACCTCTAAAAAAGGTAAAGCCCCGGCGGCCCTGTCGACGGGAAGCAGGGAGAAATTGTACCATATGTCACCCGGGTAGATTAGGGTACTATACGAGCTCTGACTTATTGGCGTCGGTAGAGGAGACGAAAGAGAACAGAGTAGTGGGTGAGGGAAGTCGGACGAAAGGGGAGAGTGGAAACGGAGAGGTCTAGAGAGGGAGAACGAGATGGCAACGTCGGCCAAGACTCAGCCTCTGCAGGAGAGGGAGGTAGAGCCTCCGGGGGATTTGAACCTCACAGACTATGAAGCGATGCGGCGGGTCCGTAAGGCGGCGTTGACCTGTGCTTTCGTGGATGACCCGACGGCTTACCCTCAACGGGTCAATGGGGAATGCACGTTGTGGATCAACGAGAAAGTAGCTAAGGCGCAAATCACTTATCTGCGGGCGCATGTCATCTTGATGTGCTTTGACGGCCCTTTGAAGGATCTCGCCCCGAAGACGAAAATGAACTGGGTCAAAGAGTGGGAAGCAACGAGTTGGTCGGACAAGGGCCAAGGCGGGGCACTCGGGGCGATTGACTCTGGAAGGCAACACGGCGGCTTTCTACTGGGCGCCGACGGCGGACCTGAGGAACTGGCTAATCTACGAGAAGCATCGGGAGGCCATTACGGTTGGTGAAAGAACATACTACATCCGATTCAAACCATGGATGACCCCCAAGGAGCTCGAGTGGACTAAGCTCCAGGAGAGGCGAGCAAACCCGTGGGTCAAATTTGTGCAGCCATCCCCGATGGTGGCCCTCTCCCTCAGGCAAGTCGCAGAGTCCTTCTTTGGAGCGGTCAAAAAGGAGCAAGGCAAGTGGATGATAGACGCAGAAGGGAAGGAATCCGTCCGCTTCGACTTGCACCCACCACTGAAGAGCCAAGCCCTGGAGCGCTTCGCAGTGGCACAGGCATACTATGGGCGTCCGGAGGTGAGATGTGTCACAAGTGAAACACCATGGTGCGAGCATTGCCATCGGCACGGCCATTTGGCGGGAGCCACCAGGTGCCTCACCCTCGCAGAGACGAAGGAGGAGATGACCAGCCGAGAGGAGCGCCTAAGGAGTGATCTGGGACTGCCGGAAGACGAGCACGCGGAGATCGAAGCATGGGCCCACTATGATAGAGAGTTTGACCAGATCATCTTCGCCGAGATCCTCATGAACGACAGCCTGGGGGATGTTAAGGAGGTGGGGAACATGCCCTTCCTCCCGAGGCACCAAGCCCCGCAGCCTCGAGAAGCCGATACACAACTATCCCATCGGAGCCAGCTCGTGGGGCAATCTCGACGGGCCCAGCAAGAACCTAAGATGCAGGGAAGGGGCGAGACACCGGACGCTGTGATGCCCGATGGCGCCGGACAGCCGCAAGTACAGGAAGAGAGACCCCGAGGACAGGAGCAGAGCGGTCAGGATAAAGGCCTAGTCGCCCAGCCGGGATCGTAGGAGGTGCCAATTAAGGACATACAGATGGAGGAGCATCATCCAGCCTGCGGACGGGGGGCTGGGGGGCAAGAAGATACGGATCGAAGACAGCGGGTCCAGAAGGAGAGGGAGAGGGTAGAGGTCGGAGTGCAGGAGACAAAGGACCAATTGGCGACTGGCAGTGAACAACACCAGCCCGGTGTCGAGGAGAAGGTTGTGGCAGAGACAGGATGGAGGGCCATGGAAGTCGATACAGAAGGAGAGCAGGCAGGGGCGGGACAACATAGGGAAGGCGAGAGAAGTCGGGGAAACGCCTCGCAAGGCCATCATCAACAACCGCCACCCTCGGAAGGCGAGGGACGCGACAACCAGAATGGAAGAATGGACGATGGAACCCTAGAGAGAAAGGGGAAGACGGCGATGCCATTGCAAGGCGGGAAGAAAGGTGGTTGGTTGTTGGACTGTTTGGAATCTTTGTTAGAAAGCGAGGAACGAGACCTGAAGGCGGATGCGAAAGGAGGGGGAGACACGCACGGCCAAAGCCGACAACCCGGACCCCCAGAGAGGGGGGGGGGTCAGGCTTATAGTAGAAGGGACGACAGGGGAACTAAGGAAAAGAAGGAGAGTCAGGCAAAACCGCTCTGCGAGACGAAGAAAGGCGGCTGGCTATTGGAGTGCTCGGGATCTATGCTGGAGGAGGCACCGAAGGGAGCCACGGAACAGATACCAGCGAAGGACGAGGAATTACACAGGAATAAGCCGGGAAAGGTACCGGACGCTGGGAGGGCCCCCTCGGAAGAACGGAGAGAGCAGAGATTAGGGGACCCGCCTTTGGGAGAGGAGAACCCTCCGATCGACCCTCGCACGACCAGCTTCTTCAGGGTCTGAACGACCTCCAATTAGAACAGCCCCGACCTTTCCAGGCGCAACGACAGTCGGCAAGCCACGTCCCGAACCAGAACCAGCTGAAGGAGGCCGCCAGGAAAGAGATTGAATCGCTCTGGGATGAGTCCATGCAGGAACCCCAGCAGGGTGGGTTGGGTAAAAAGAGGGGTAGAGCAAGGCGGAAGACGAGGAGGATGGGGGCATCAGACCAAGACGTGAGCTCATCAGACGCGGAAATGGCTATATGCCAGAAGCCCCTTCTGGACCCCCCGAGGGAGAAACCCCCCCCTTCTGTCCCCCCCCTTCCTGTCTCCCCCTTGCTGCCTCCTGTCCCGGCCCCTTTGGGTGAACTGCACGATGGAAGTACCTCTCCCCGGGCTGGGGCGGCACGGCCTGCCGGTGGGGAGAAATTTAGTGAGGAGATGAGCCCACCGCAGCCGGGCACGAGGTGGACTAATCCTCTCGTTTTGAGTAGCTCGACTTCTTTGTCCCTCCCCCCTCCCCCCCACCCTGACCCTGCGCGGCGAAGATTAGACGAGATAGAGCAAATTCAGGTGGATGAGATGGAACTCATGGAATACCAAAGGGTTGAGGAGGAGGAGGAGAATCCGGGACCGATCCAGCAAGAGGAAGAAAATCAGGTGTTCAATGACATTCACGTCAGGAGAATGTTGCTACTAGATGGGAAGTTTGACGAGCTTCGAGCGCAAGGCCGACTCCGAATTGTTCCTGTGATACTCCGTCTTTGGGACATCAAGCTTCAGATCTTGCTGTGTCGACCAAAAGACGATGAGCACACCCCAACCATCCCATTCCTCAAGTTTGCAAGACATCCTTCCATGCAGCAGGCGATTGTAATGGCGGAAAAATGGCTCGGCAACGACTGCGACGTCTTGCCAATGAAGGGCGTGTCGGCGATCCGGCTGCTTTTGAAGTCAGACTCGGAGGATAGCTTGGGGGCATATTGCTTTCTGCTCCGAGCAGAGTCCCGGAAACACGTAGCCCAAGTGGCGGACCCCCTGTTTTGTTGGAACGACCTCGAGCCGCTAACGTTGGCATTGCCAAATCCGGAAGGGCTGCCAAATCCGGAAGAGACTTCAACCACCTACAAGGAAACGGTCGAGATTCTCGCCCTCCTCAATAAGCGGCTTCCATAGAACAAGAGATTCACGCACCCCTCCTTTATCACGGACCCGGAGACATGGCTCAGAGGGCCTCGCCAGACAGGTAAGCAGACGTCGAGGATATCACGGCCTCCCCTGCGTGGGATGGCTTCGAGTTCGCGATTACGGCGTAAATCCTCCAAAGCATGAACTGGGTAGTGTAAGGAAGATGAACCGGTGATGGCTGAAGTGCTCTGTATAACTAGTGAAGGAGGGAGACGGGGTGGGAGTGACTCGCCTCATTGTAAATACCATTTACGGGATTCTCTGGTAGAACGTAACAGAATGTGCGATTTCTCTGCGTAGTGTGATGGGACGTGCGAGAGATAGTGGGGAACAGTATACTAGAAGGATAGTGAACAGCTTTGTGAGATCTTTTCGAACTAGGGGCTTGAGAAGCCGATGTGTCTTGCTGCACTCCATTCCAAATACCAACAACTAGATGATGCTATAGGCACTAGATGAACAACGAATTGCTTTGTGAGATTTGGTCGAAATGGGGACTTGGGAAGATGAAGCGTTAGGTGTAGGTTGTATAGGTGATTGTAATTACCATCGTTAAACGAGGCTGTAGGAAGTAGTGGTTGAGAATAAGCTGGTAAGGGGAAGAAATGGTAAGATAGATAATGGGTGTTGTCCTTGTGTGCTCCCATGTACGCATTCGGGCCTCACGGTGAACGGCAACCGCAGTGCCCGGGAGGGAAGGGGCTGATGTACAGACGAACAGATGGGGATAGGAGTTAGTCCTGGGAGTGTGCGTCTCTGCTAACTGGCTGGCCTGCAATTGAGTTGAGGTAAGACTCTCTTAATGCCTGTGCGAGTCAACCCATGAGGCTACAGGGAGCAGTGGCTGGGGACAGAATGTAAGGGGAAAGAAAATAGTGGTGCAGATAATGGTGGTGGTTTTTGTGTGACTCTAATACGAGAACTGTAACACCTGACATATGAAGACTTGAGGGTAAATGGTAAATAAGTGTATAATCAATTGACAGGAGTAAGAGTAGGAGTAAGAGTGGGGAGGCTCAATCTGTGTTAATCTGTTGTCTTATAAATTCGTGTGGTGGTGAGACTCTGGATACTATTGAGTGAATCCCTGGGCTGCAACTTGTGTGAAATCTGTGGTGGTATAACTGGGAGTTCACTGAACACGTTGTAATTAACCACCGCAATATGACACAGCTGCTGAGAGTTGCATCGTTGAACGTGAGAGGGCTGGGGGGGGCCTCCTTCAGAACAAAGTGGAAGGAAATCAAGGGACTGGTAGATCGTGATCGTATTCACCTCCTCTGTTTGCAAGAAACTAAACTTTCTGAGCACAGAATAACTGAAGGAGAACTGCCACCGATCACGGCAAGCCTCAAGGCTGGTTTCCAGCTCTGGGCGCCTGCAATAGGCACGGCAGGGGGGCTGGCTATCCTTTGCACCAAGTATTTTAAGGGGGAGATCCGGGACTTTTTCGCGAACACACAGGGCCGCTGGGCCTGGGTGTACATAGACCAGGCTGGGGAACGCGTCCTTATTGCAACGGTGTATGCCCCCCCGCAGCTCAGAGACAGATGCCAATTCTGGCATGCTTTCTCTGCTAATATCCCCGACGCAGACAGACTAATCTTGATTGGCGACCTCAACATGGTGGTAGACTCGCCACCGCGGTCGGCCTCCTGTGCCCCCTACTCACCTGACGCGCTCGCCATGATAGATGTATTGACAGGCATGGGCCTGCAGGACGCTTTTAGAACGCTTTGGCCCCATGAGAAAGGCGTCACATGGGTCGGATCGGCCCTTAAAAAACGCAGTAGAATCGACATGGCCTGGCTGTCTCAGGCCGCCATGCAATGCCTACTTGACTTCAGCATCACTCCGGTGGTCCGTTCGGACCACAAGAAGATCGCCCTCATTCTGGCGATCCCCACGGAGTTGCACACCAGACCCCCTCCCTCTACCGTCCCGGCGTGAATTTTCTCAGAGGAGCGGTATCGCAACATGGCAAACCAACACTCGCTCTACTGGACACAGCTCCGCCACCCGGACCAGCCCGCCCTCCAATGGCTAACGGATGGAACGGCGGCCCTGGCCAGATTACTTAAGCAGGCTGTACTCGCGTCCAAGCGGGCAAGGCGGCTGACGGCGGAAGCCTTTATCAGAAGGGCGCTGGAACTGGGCGATGGTCCAACAACAGAAGAAGGGGAGGAGGAATGGTGGATGCAATGGGCGGCGCTGCAGGTGGAATGGGAGAAATGGCAGATTAAGGACGCGAAATCTTGGGGACTGCGTAACAAAGCTTAATGGATAGTGGCGGCGGGGCGCATGACAAAGACATTCTTCCGACGACTCCACCCGAAACGGCCGGCCTCTGCCATGATGACACTGCAGACTCTGTTCCAGCAGGACGGACCGCTGACCGACAACACTCAACACATTTTGCGGTTTGCTCATGAGTACTACTCCTACCTCCTAATTGAGGAACAACCATGGACACCGGACGAAATCGCCACAGCCCCGGCCACGACAATTTGGCAGAAGACAACTACAATCCTGACCGACTCGGACCGACGCGACCTCGACGAACCAATTACAGAGCAGGAGATCGGGGAAGCGCTGGCTGACATGCCTTCAGGAAAAGCTCCAGGACCGGACGGAATGCCAGTGGAACATCTTAAGGCCTGCCTGGAGGCCCTCCTGCCGCACCTTCTTGAGGAGTTCAACGATGTTAGACAGGGAGTCAAACCCCTCCCTGAGGAGTTTGGCCTTGCTACGATCATCCTGGTGCATAAAAAGGCCTTCCCCAAGGAGATTCGCAACTGGCGGCCCATTTCTCTGTTGTCTGCCTCATATAAGCTGTTGGCGAAGATCCTGGCAAACCGCCTCGCCTGCAAACTCCCTCAGATCGTTGATTCCACGCAAACGGGCTTCATCCCGGGACGGCGGATCCTGACTAACATCTTGCTGGCAAGGCAGATAGTATGGCAAGCCCCGCGGCACGACCCGCCTTTGGCGTTTGTCCTCCTGGACTTTGAGAAGGCTTATGACAGAGTCTCCTGGCCATTCCTGCTCGAAGGCCTGAGACAAAGGCGATTCGGCCCGAGATTTCTCTCCATGGCGAAGTGCCTTCTAGCCTCGGCGGCGTCCCGACTTTTGATCAATGGCTACTTGTCTGATCCGATTGCTGTCACGCGCTCAGTTCGCCAGGGCTGCCCCCTGTCCCCGAACATTATATGCACTCTAAATCTAACAACTGCATGATATGATTAGAGCGGATGAGGAGCTGCAGGGGCTGAAACTTCCGGGAGGTAGACAACTTAAATCGTCGGCATTCGCGGACGACACTGGCGCGGTCACTGCAACCACTCCGGCTAGCGTCCGTGGACTGTGGAACCAGGTGGGCACTTTTGAAAAATTTGCAGGGGCACGCATGAATTGGCACAAATCGGTGGCGTTGGTGCCTGACCTCACTGTCGCCCCCCTGTTTGAGGGAATGAGAGTCCAGCCGATGACAGAAACGGCATCTTACCTAGGCATCGAGCTTCCCCAGGCCCTCGCCGATGGTTCCCAGATGGAACAACTGATGCGGAAGGCAGCCTCGCGACTTGTCCTCTGCGGTAAAACTCTGGATGCTGGAATATTCGGCAGAGTGCTCCTGGCGAACACAGCGGCCTCCGCGATGCTCTGGTACGCAGCCCCCATCTCAACCCCGGATCCAGTCCCTTAGCGGGAATACCGGACTGCGCTCTCCAAGTCCATCTGGAAGAACGATCCGTTCGCCCCGCACGCAGTCCACCGGGTCTCCTGGCGCAAGCTCATTCAACCGAGACCAGGTGGAGGACTGGGCCTGATTGACCCGGCCACCCAGATCTGGCTCCTCCTGGAGCAGGATGACTCTCCCCGGAAGATCCTTACGTTGCAGACCATGGCGGAAGCGGCCCAACTGCACCCGACAGACATGGAGTTGGCCCTGGCGCAACCGGCCATTCTCACGGAGCTCAAAAGAGGCGTTCTGTAGTCCTCGTTTCTGAAGGCATGGCGGGACCTGGCCCCACTTGAGCTTAAACCACCGGAGTCGACAGACCAGATTCTCCAGCAGCCTTTGTTTGGCAACCCGCTGATTCGGGACAGCAACGACGAACAGTTTCCATGGGCAGGCCCCAGAGGCGCGTTCGGCAAAGCCTGGCTCAAAGTCGGGGTGGCGAGAATAGCAGACCTCTGGGACTTACAGACCAAGGACTGGCAGCAGGAGGCGGCGCTGCTTAAGCAGCTGGATGGCCAAACGCATAAGAAGGAACGGCTACACCGCATCAAGCAGGCGATCTCGGGGATATGGGTGGACGCTCTCAGAACGATGCAGAGTTTTGACAGGGAATGGGTGACGCTCAGATCTGAAGACCCGGTCCGCCTGCTATTCCAGATCACGACGTGCGTTGGCGAGACCTGGTTGGTGGCTGAAGCCTGGGAGAACCCTCCCTCCGACACTTCCTTCGGACACCCCTTGGTTCGCGCCCCGAGCAGGGATGGGTGGGTCCCCCGGGACCTCGTCAGACCAGTCTCGGTGGTCACGGACAGGAAAGGCCTCGCCCGGGTCACCCACCACGTCTTCTGCCCGGATAGGTGCCCAGCCCAGCTGGCGGTCGATCCGGCTATGTGGACCTGGAGGAAGAAAGGCCTCCAACGCCACGACCTCCCGCTGCATCAAGTGTCCACCAAAGTTATCTACAGAACGCTATCCGCTCCCTACCGAATGGACCAGGAACTCCAATATCGTTGGGCCAGAAGGGGATGGCTTACGGGGACCTCCACAAGAAAATGGTCTCCTGCCGCATGGAAGTCCATGGCCAGCCGCCTTCAAACGCTCCCCAATCTGAAGCATGCAGGGCTCCTCTGGCTAAACATACCCCTGGCGCTCCTGACGAACCAGTGGATTGCGAAGCGCTCATCTTACTCAGATGGGATATGCCCGCATTGTGCTGCGGAATGTGAGGACATCCCCCACATGTGGAGTGGGTGGCCCCCGCAACAACAATTTTGGCAGTGGTGGAAGCAGGAGGTGGGGGGAGATATTGACGAGATGCCTCCGGATGAGTGGGCCGACTGTCTGCTGGTCGGTCCGGTCTTCAGAGACCCCCCCATTCGAGGCCAACGGGCGTATGCTATCGAGATCATTAGAGCGGCCTTCCTGGGAGCGGTCTGGGCACTCAGAACACAGCTCATCTTTCAACGGCGCCCTCCCACCTTTGCGGCCCTGAGGGCGATGAGCCTCACCAATCTTCGAATGGCCATTGCTGCAGATATCAAAAGGAAATCGGCTGCGGCGTGGCCTCTGCTCAAGCAAACTTGGGCGCCATACTCCAAACTCGTGCATATTCACGATCAGCCTGGGTCCTGGGAATGGACCCCTGACGTGGGGACCTGCCCCTCGGGCGAATCACAGTAAGGGGACAGCCAATGGCAGCTGGAAGAGTGCACTTCCGTCTGGTCCAATTACGGTCAGGCTAGCAAGGGAGGAGGAAAGGAGAACACAAATTTTGTAGGACTGCACTGATATTACGAAACTGACCTATGGCCTAGAGGGGGACGACTCGGGCGGTGTGGGCGGGTTGAGAAAAGGACAGGAAGTCTGGTCTCCCGCGACTAGGAATGGGAGTTTGATAGGATTTGTGATTAGAAGTACCTTAAGCCCGGTAGGTGTCATAGTGAGAACCCGTTATAGAACCATGGGAAGTTGGCTAGAGGAGAAAAACTGGAAAAGAAATTCATAGAAACTTAATAGAAGGAAGGAAAGCATTGCATTGTATGGAAATAGTGAAAGACGGTAGAGGTCGTACGGCCCCGAAAGGGAAAATCTTTGCCTCGCTCGGGTGAGAATAGACGGACCGAGGTGGGCATAGAGGAGGGAATGGGGTATGACCCAACAGATTGAGTACTTTTGATGATTGATGTGGTAACCCTCGGGGGGAGTGAGGGGCTTGCCTCTAGGCATCGCAGGTCTCGCCTCCCCTGAAAACCCCCTCTGTGACTGGGTGCTAACGCTTCCCGACAGAGGGGGCCTCAGGGGCGGCCAACCTGAATATGTGCCCCCAGGCCAACCCCGGCGCAGGCGCCACTGACTTTGGGCAGTGGCGATACCCCCGTTGCTCCTTTTGTTGCTTATCTCTATCTGTACTCTGGGACGCTGGGCCCGATTCCCAGCAGGTGTTGCTCCCCACCAATAGATTGGAGCCTTCCCCCAGGTGCTACCGATAGCTACTGTTACCAGTATCGTTACCACCATCGGGGGATGCTTGGAAAAAAAAAAAAAAAAAAAAAAAACAAACAAACTGTGAGAGCACGAATACAAACTGTGAGAGCAAGAGCAGAGCGGAGAGTGAGAAGGCGCGTAGGGGTGATGGCGTAGGGTATAATCATATAGGGCGTAGGTTGACGTGGCGAAGGAAGCGGTAGACGCGGGAGACACGTGAAATCGTGCCGATCCGCCGATGGTGGCAAATGGTGACAGGAGATGAGGAAGGGGTGAAGTTGACGGCGACGTGAAGGAAGCGGTCGACGCGGGAGACACATGAAATCGTGAAGATACTCCGATGGTGGAGACGGCGGCAGGCGACGAGGAAGAGGTGAAGTTCACGGTGGTAGGAGACGCGGAAGGGGTGTAGGTTGCTGCAGCGCTGGAAGCGGTGATGGAATAAATGTGTAAGAAGGGCTGCGATGAGTGCGCGGGATAGTGACGATAGTACGACGGTAACAAAACAGCGCGCCGTGGAAGGCTGTAAAGGGGTACGAGCGATGGCAACGAAAACGTGATGGCGCGACGGCAGGAGAATCGGACGCGGACTGCGATAAAGGCACACATGGAATAATGACGGCATGGTGGTGGGCTAGTGGTGGCGGCGGAAGAATTGGGCGTGGAGATACGTTGAATAGTGACGGCGTGACGGTGAGTAGTGACGGCGCGATGGTGGGACGGGAGAATTAGTCGCGGGCTGTGATAAAGACATACATGGAATAATGACGGCACGGTGGTGGGCTAGTGGTGACGGCGGAAGAATTGGTCGTGGAGACGCACGGACGAAGTATAAGTGGAGACACGGCGACGGAAAAGATACGTGAGGAGCCGCAGGGGGGGAAGGATGTGACGGCACTGGAAGTCGGACGGGACGCGTGAGCAGAAGAAGCGACAGGCAGTGGAGTAGGGGAGGAGATGACACGAGAGGTTGATAGAGAGCGGAGATGCGGACGACAGAGTCCAGGGGATGGTGTGGATGATAGGTGGCGGAACGTGAGGCGGAAGCAACAGACGGAGAAATCGGGGCACAACCATTGGTGATAATAAGGGAACTATGGCAGACGGATGCGAGAAATCGGGGTGTGGCCAGTGACGACATCAAGCATACAACAGAAAGTCAACGGCCTCAGCTAACGATTACTGAGAGGGGAGAACGAATCGCGTTGAGAGAACGACTAGGGATGACTGGTCACAGGCGGAGGGACTCGGGCAGGAATTGAGGCAAATCATTGGTGGTGACTGTGGAAGACGGACGGTTGTAGGCGGAAGTGAACGAGCGAGAAATCGGGGCGGCAGCTACAAGCAACCACGGCAGACGGAAGTGAGAAAGCGGGGTGCGACCATTGGCGTCATCGAGGCGTTGTGGACAGCCCTGTCACAGGCCTGGCGAATAGTGATAGTGGACGTAGGCAGAAGTGTATTGTGGATCCTCACTTGGACAGTGGCATATATATGCTGTAGACAAATACTTGGGATAGGAAACCGGGTAGTAGTGTGGTGGGAATTACTCACTACTCGGGGATGGATTGACTGGTTGGCGGCCCTCGCGGTATGGGTGGAGATTGGACGAAGGGGAGGAATCCAACAAATCTGGATCTCCACGGTTGGGCGATGGCTAACGAGACGGGAGCAGCGAAGGTTGGAAGCTCAGATTAGCTGGTTAAGACGTAGAATATAACAGGAGGAGAGGTGGTTGAGAGCATTTGACCCTAACTGGCACACTGACCAATATCGGACGTCTTCCTCACAGGGGGAGCAGCTGCAAACGCGCAGCCCCCCCCCTCCAACCCCAGTGGGGCTTGCCTCCTCGTCCGTAGAACCGCCGGGTTGGAGGACCGGCCGCCGTTGCCGTCGGAGACGAAGGCACGGAGTGGCCCCCACGGCAGCTGCTAGAGTAGAAGCGAAAGGCAAGGCCCCGATCAACCCCTCCCCTCAGGAGTCGGCTAGAAGGAAGGGATACGCTAGTGAACCAACTAGAGCAACAGAACTCCCATCCTCATCTGCGACAAGACCGAATAACCGTGGTCGGCTGGGATACTACACTGACAGTGACCCGTCTGATTCCACGGGAGAGACAACGGCCTTGCGAAGCAATGAGGAGAGTCTAGAAAGCGGCGCTGACTCGCACCTTCGTGGAGGACCCCACAGCGTACCCCAAGCAAGCAAACGGAGAGTGCACGCTATGGCTGGGCGAAAAGGTGGCTAAGGCCCAGATAACCTACCTGCGGGCTCACGTCATCCTGATGTGCTTTGAAGGTCCGCTCAAGGATTTCTCCGCCAAAACGAAGAGGGAATGGGTAAAGGATTGGGAAGTGGTGAGCTGGCCGAAGAAAGGCTAGGGGGGCCACTTGGGGCGCTTAACAATAGAGAGCAACGCAGCGGCCTTCTATTGGGCGCCAACAGTGGATCTGCGGAATTGGTTGCTCTATGAGAAGCAACGAGAGGCTATGACAGTGGGGGAACGCATATACTATATCCGCTTCAAACCCTGGATGACCCCCAAGGAACTGGAATGGACGAAGCTTCAGGAAAGAAGGGCGAATCCCTGGGTTAGATTCGTCCAACCCCCTCCCATGGCTGCTCTCTCCCTCAAACAGTTCGCGGAAGCCTTCTTTGGTGCTGTCAAAAACCAGCAAGGGAAGTGGACGACAGATGCGGAAGGTAAGGAATCGGTGCACTTTGACCTGCAACCGCCGCTCAAGAGCCAGGCCCTGGAGCGCTTCTCAATGGCCCAAGCGTACTACGGTCGACCTGAGATAAGATGTGTTACTAGTGAGACGCTGTGGTGCGAAAACTGCCACAAACATGGCCATCTGGCGGAAGCGGGAAGATGCCTGACGCAGGCGGAAACCAAGGAAGAAATGAATTACCGAGAACACCGTCTTAAGAACGACCCTGGCCTGCCGGAGGATGAGCATACGGAGATTGCGGCGTGGGCGCACTTCGAAAGCGAATACGATCAGATAATCTTCGCTGAAATTACCATGAACGACAACCTTGGGGATCTGAAGGAGGTGGGGAATGTAGCCCTCGTACCAAGCCAGAAGAAAGTGCCTCATCTGGAGATACGAGCGGGGGCGGGACACGTGGAACGGCAATCGAAGGCTGGACAGAAGTCACCGCAGCCGAAGCAAGCACAGAGGAGAGAGGACATGCCGAAACGGGCGCTGGGGCAGGCGCCCCAACCAGCAGTAGAAAGGAAGGGTGTGGAGGACAGGCGACAGGAACCTTCCCCGCAGGACGAGGATCGAAGCGCCAAACCGCAAAGTTGGAAAGGCGAGAGGGAGGAACCGCCGAAAGAAGAATGGGCCAAAGGGCTGGAACGGCGGCACCGCGCAACAATTGGAATGGTCGCTGACGAAGCGCCAGGAGCAGTAAGCCGGCAAACAGCGGAACTAGGAGACGGAGAAACTTACAGACGCCGGGAGAACGCAAAGACAGCAGGAAAGAGTGATATGGAGATAGACCTGAGAGGGCAAGAAGAGGAGAGTGGACTAAAACAATCGGGAGTACAGCAGCAAACCCTGGACGAAAACCGAGAGGTCAAGAGCAAAGAGAGGAGGGCAGAAGACCCGACTACTCCGCAAGGCCTGCTGTCTGGGAGGGCAAAGGCACCAGGGATAAGCGATATGGAGGTAGATCTCAGAGGGCAAGAAGAGGAGATTGGACCAAAGCAGCTGGGAGTACAGCAGCTAACCCTGGGCGAAAATCATGAGGTCAACGGCAAACGATTGAAAGAGAGGAGGGCTGATGACCTGACTACTGTGCAAGGACTGACGATCGGGAGGAGCAACCGACCAGGGAGTGGCGACGGAGACAAGAACCAGCAGAGGATGGCGGGCCGGAGGACACAAGGGGGATGGTGTTCAGGATCTGTTCAAGAGGCAAGGCGATCGGAGGAAGACCTCCTGAGGACCTCCGAAAAACAGATGGTGGAGAAAGACAAAGTGGAAGGGGGGCGATGGCCCGGTGCACTCTCAGATTCTGCAAGGACTGAACGATCTTCGCATGGAAAAGCCCCATCAGTCAACACTGACTCCACCTAAGAACCAAGCGTGGCTCGAACACGAGGCAAGGCAGGAAATCGAGTCGCTCTGGGACGCCAGCATGGAAGAACCACAATTTTCGTTGGTGGGGAAAAAGAGAAGCAGGGCACGGAAAAAGACGAGGGTGGCTCTTTCTGGAGCGTCGGCACAGGAAACGAGTGCATCGGAAACGGAAAACCTAAAGCGTCAGAGACCCCTCCTGAGCACGCCAATCAACCAACCTCACACACCCACAGCTACGAAGACGCCAGAGCAACAGACCAATGTGGGGCCCGAAGAACAGGCGGATCCGGATCCCGGCACGGCATGGGCCAACCCCCTTGTCCTCAGCAGCTCTGCCTCCCTCTCGCTTCACCCCATCCAGCCTCGGGCACAACAAGGACTGAAGGAGATTGATCAACTGCAGCTGGACGAGATGGAACTCATGGAATTCCAGAGGGTGGAGGAGGAGGAGGAGAACCCGGGACAGATACAACAAGCAGAAGAGAATCGAGCATTCAACGATATACATGTGCAACGCATGCTGGTGCTGGACGGCAGGTTTGACGAGCTTCGACAGCAAGACCGCCTCCGAATTGTCCCCCTTGTACTGCGTATATGGGAGGCCAAGCTCCAGATATTGTTGCGCCAAGCGCAAAAGGAGACCAGACTGCCGACCATCCCGTTCCTCAAATTCGTCGGCCACCCCTCCATTCAAAAGGCGATGGCAATGGCGGAGAAATGGCTTGGCCCGGACTGTGACGTGCTGCCCATGAAGGGCGTGTCAGCGATCCGACTGCTATTACGACCAGAAACTGGGGAGAGCCTTGGAGCATATTGCTTTATGCTCCGAGCGGAATCACAGAACCATGTGGCCCAAGCTGCAGCCCCCCGGTTGGAATGGGCAGATTTGGAGCCTCTCACGGTAGACCTTCCGAATACGGACGAAACTTCCACCACGCATGAAGAGACAATTGGTATCCTCGCCCTCCTCAACAAACGACTTCCCGAGAACAAGAGATTCACGCACGCATCATTCATCACGGACCCCGAAACATGGCTTCGGGGACCGCGGCAGGGAGGAAGGCAATCGTCTCACACAATTCGCTACGGGAACACCAGTCTCTCTCGTCTGCGCGGTAAGGCGGCTAGACTGTGAAGGTAAGGCGGCTGGATTGTGAAGCTAAGGCGGCTGGACTGTGACTGATCCACATGAGAACGCTGGCGGGAACACCACTGCGTATTGAGCCAACGGCTCTTGAGATAGACAATGGTTACGCTGACTCGCTAGACACCGCGGTGACAACACTGCCCGTCTGCGTTACCTGAACGGGGTAGGACAAATGGAAGTCTATGGGATCGGGTAAAATAGTACAGAATAGATCTGTAAACAAACTGCGGAAGCAYTTAGACAATACCTCATGGCTATGGCTGTAAATACGTGATTAGCGTTGGCTGGACTATGTTGTAAATACTCGATTAGCGYTGAATGGACAGTGCAGGGCAAATAGCTTCTGGGAGGATGCCTATCGGATTGGGCAATTCAGTAGAGAATAGGTTTGTGCAATAGCCGGGAAAGCACTTAGAAGACGCCCTATGGCTATATTTGTCAATCCGCGACGAGGAAATGGGACTGTGTATGGCAAATGGGTCTTGGGGTAGATGTCTGTGGGATTGGGTAATTCAGTAAAGAATAGATTCCTAAATTTCCTGTGTAAACACTTAGGAAGTATCCTGTGGCCATCGCTCTGAATACGTGAAGAGAGAATTGACTATAGAAGGAAATTTGCGTTGCGCAAACAGGACGGTGCAGGGCAATTGGTTTTTTTTTTTTTGGAGAAGACGCCTGTGGGATTGAAAGATCCAATAGGGAACGCATTTGTAAATCAACTGTGCAAGCTTTAGAAAGTACCCCTTGGCTGCTGTTGTAAATACGCGTCCAGACAATCGACTACAGTATAYGCGMTGTATTGGGCCCGGACTCGTCTACTGAACCCGAACAGGGTATAGTTGTGAACACCAGTCGATGCAATACAGTGCAGGACAGAAAACAGGGCAATTGGATTTAAGGTGACAACTAAGGGACCGAGTGCCTAGGACGGGTGAATAAAATGGGATTTGGAGGGACACGGGCTGGGCATGGGCGTACTGAAACCCACTAGGTTATGGATACACAGAACAGATCCGGTAATAGGTACTACTCATCTAAGTAAGCCGATTGACCGGAGACTCGACAGCGGATAGGCCTGTAATGACAACTTGAAGCCATACTAGGGCCAATCGGATGTATTCCGACATAGGTGGTAAATAAAAGATATAGGTATGAGTGATCTAAGAGACAACGACCTACAAACAAGGCTTTCCGAGCTAGGAACGATCTACGCCACGCAGAAAACTGTAACATAGCTCTAAAAGATTGACACTTCGAGATAATAGATACCTGAGTGGTTGATAACGGGACGTCACGAGTTCAACTGTCATGCTTTCTCTGAACTGTGCTCCATGGGGCGTCTGGGACTGCTGTGTATGATGGGACAAAATGGGAGATTTGGATTGCTATATGAACTAAGAGGAAATGTCTAAATGACTTTGAAAGAACCTGGTTGGCATGATGACAGGAAATMTGMACCCTGYTGMTGAAGCAAACTGAGTGGAATGMTGACAGGAAATCATYTGTTTAAGATGCATGGCAGGAAACAATCTGTTTAATGTGGAGCAGATAGGACGTCGTTTCGAACAKAGYTGAATTAGACTGACCGGAAATGCAGCCCTCAGCGCTCCTTAGGATTGCGTCCCTCAACGTCCGAGGATTAGGACCGCCTCCTTCCGCCCCAAATGGAAAGAGATCAAAGGACTGATAGATAGAGACAAAATCCAAATCCTGTGCCTGCAAGAGACCAAACTTGCAGAAAGCAGGTTGACGGACGGGATGCTCCCCCCAGTGCAGGCCCCTTTCCAAGCCTGCACCGGCCGTAGGTACGTCAGCAGGAGTCGCCATTCTTTGTACTAAGTACTTCAAAGGCCAGGTGCTCGACTTCTTTGTAGATACGGCTGGACGCTGGGCTTGGATATACATTGAAATGCTGCGAGAAAGAGCGCTAATTGCCACTGTGTACGGACCAACAGACCTTCAGGACAAACGCTCCTTCTGGAAAGGACTGGCACCTAACCTCCCGGTTGCGATGGTCCAAACGGATGTTGACGCAATGTGATTTCTGCCCAGTGTTGTGAATGTCAAAGTGAAGAGATTCAACCAAGCGCGGGTAAACGGCGGGAGTAACTATGACTCTCTTAAGGTAGCCAAATGCCTCGTCGTCTAATTAGTGACGCGCATAAATGGATTAACGAGATTCCCACTGTGCCTATCTACCATCCTGTAAAACCACAGCCAAGGGAAAGGGCTTGGAAGAATCGACGAGGAAAGAAGACCCTGTTGAGCTTGACTCTAGTTCGACTCTGTGAAATGACTTGAGAGGTGTAGAATAAGTGGGAGCCTTATGGCGCAAGTGAAATACCATTACTTTTAACGTTATTTTACTTATTTCGTGAGGTGGAGCCGAGGCTTTGCCCCTGCTTCTCGATCCAAGGTGCAGGCCCTCGTGGCCTGTCCGATCCAAGTGAAAGACATTGTCAGGTGGGGAGTTTGGCTGGGGAAGCACATTTGTTAGAAGATAACGTTGGTGTCCTAACATGAGCTCAACGAGAACAGAAATCTCGTGTGGAGCACAAGGGCAAAAGCTCATTTGATTTTGATTTCCAGTACGAATGTCTCTGTGGCAACCGTGGTCTAAGTTCGGGTGGGCCCTGATGTGTTGCATGCGACTACGGAGCGTCGGTCATAGTCGATACTCTCCCATCTCCCAGGGTACGTAAGGATGTGCGCTGTCTCTGAGGGTCTCAGCTGGTTCAATAAGGGGATGTGGGGAGGGGGTGGAACATACTATACCATTGTGGGCAGGGTCGTCTGCGCAGGTCTCGCTTGGCGAGTGTAGTACCGGCTCCGAGAGCGTAGGAAGGCTCGACGCGCCGGCCAGCCTGGCGGGACTGCCCTCAATGACCGTGCGATAAGGACCCCCCACGGCCGTCTACAACCTGCACAACCTTAAAAAAAAAAAAA